CACTGATCTGCCTGTTTATAATCACCTTATAAAACATGCTATAATGAAAAAGCAGCACATTGTGATTCTTCTTCTGGTGAGTGTCTCAAAATCTATGGTCTGTGACCTCCAAAGTAAAATAATCCTGTAATAAGATTCTATTTTCAGTCATGTCTACAACTGTCATTATAAGGTGTTGCATTTTATTTTTTGATTAATAAAAATAATGGCAAGATTTAGTGAAGATTGCTTAACAAGAATTACTTTAAGACTCTTATTTACTCCGCTGTTATTATATTTCGATTAAGAATGTAGTTGAAGTGAATAATGACGGGATAAATTTCTATCGAAACACTCCATTTAGATGAAAACTTTTAATCTTTTTTCTTAACTTTATTAAACAGTGTGTCCTGAAAATCAAAACTCTTCTGTTTCTTTGAACATGCCTACTTAATAATGCAGAACTATAAGTAGCCTAAACGAAAATAAATAAATAAACGAAAGTAGTGGTTTAATTGATTGGATATCACAAATGATTTATTTGTGGCTAGTACGTTTAATTATTTATTTTGATTACTAAGAATTATTCCCTGTAACAACTGCTTTTCGTGAATGTATGCACAAATGGTCTGTAAATTGTAGGACAGTGAATATCTCCTTTTTTCTTTTCTATAAGGATTAATTGCTTTGCTTCATATCGTGATTTTTCTGTAGTACACATTGGAATAAAATAGAAACAATTTGATTGGCCCAAATGTTTGTGTTGTTTCCGTAGATAGTGTTGATTTTAATGTTTATTATATGTAATTGGGGTAAAAGTGAGATGTAATATCTAAAATAACTTTGCTTATAAAAATTTTGATCAGTCTTATAGGAAAAGCAGCATTTTTGAGCAAAGTGATTGTGTTTTTTAAAATGAAGGATGTCAATTTAACTTATTTAAGCACTATTAAATTTAAAGCATTCCACCGGCACTTAGCGTCTACTTTATGTTACTGTTGTGATACTACTCCAGCTTCACTATATTCATCTATCAGCCACATTTTATTAAAACAAGACAGTTCAATTCATTTAACGCCACCATGAGTTTTGAAAGTGGACAGCTGCGATTGCATATAAAATAAGTTGACAATATTAAGCCGACAGTCTTTGAGGAATAACATTATTTCTCAGGTACTGAATTATCAAATTGTATGCTTCAAACGAAGGCGGTCTTGTTAATACAGATATTGACAGTGTGAACTTTGAGTAAGCTGTTTATGTTTGTTTTTGGTACACATTGTCACTAATTGAAGAACAACTTGTAGACAAGTTAGCTTGGAGAAGCCTATCATTTATTATGAACGCATACCTTTGATTTGCCGTTTCACCAGATGAAATCTTTGGCTCTTTTTTTCTATTAAACATTCAGACAAATTTCAATAGTTTTGAAAGTGTTCCAAACTTATATATAATAAGAACTCATTAATTTTAAAATGCATATAGCTATCGTTTCTACTTTGTTTGATAACCAAACCTTTACACCAAGTAATATATATGTATATGGCAATTTCTTTCAAAGATTTTTAACAAAGAAATATGTTTATATAAGGCATCTTTGTGCAAACTTTCAACACTCTACCGATTGTAATTTGTAGTAATGCTCGTATTATTTTAGTGTTTTCGTACATTCCATGCATACATACGTTTGAGCAGTAGGTTGAGATGACATTTTTATGAAGGTTTCTGAACGGGTGCTGAGTTGTTCATATTCTTTTTTTCGAAAGGTTAATTTTGCTTCATATCCGTATAAACCTGTGTAAACTGTGTTGCTATCAATTTACTCACTTAATGGTTCCCTGCCTGATGGCTGCTTGAAATCAAGGTGTAGATAATTCACTCATGTTTGATTTTTATTAAGTGTAACCTTTGGAAAACTACTTCTAGTTGGTTTGTTTTTGTAGAATGGGTAAATATTGTGTTTCTTGTTTTGTTGAAATTGGTTGTTTATATGCTTTTTGATACAAATTTGACTACTTTATAAGTAGTGCAGAGAGGATTGACAGAAGGGACCTGAAAGTTGACTCAAATGTCCTAGTTTTACTTCTTCGTTGAGTTCTGTGTCACAGTTTGACTATTAGTATGGAAAGTTGCTCGCTTATAATCGCTTCTATAAGTGCCAATAAAGCAATACTTCCTCTATTCAGCACCAAGACTGACTCTTCGCCAAAACTATAAAGGGAGAGCCAGCTAAATCAATAACATCTTCATAAGAACCATGAATGCCAGTGTGAAGTATGCAAATGGTGTTTCAAGAATTTAAACATTACCTTTAATTGAGCTGGCTTGAAAATCTGAACTTTCGTCAATGACGGCAGCTTATTTTTAATTATTGGTATCACCACGTATCATATAGTGCTTGACTATGCATTTTTCAAAAAATTAAAAATTGTTTTATCCGTCTGAGTTTCTTTAAAATCAGGAGGTATCTTAATAATCTAAATGTATTACTCCACTTTTGATGTCCGTAGGATTTATTCGCTGACTTCAGGTTGGCGCTCATCATTAACTGACATCAGTAGGAGAAAAAATGGAAACCTGGGAGCACTGCCAGCTGTTTTATCCTGGTATGGTATTCCTCACCAGTGCGTACTCATGACCCCCCTAGGGATCGAGCTTAGGACCCTAAAGTTCCGTCTCTAGCACGTTACCATTAAGGTATTGTGCTGGAATTCAGTGGTTCATATTTTCTACCTCAATCCCTGGTGGGTTTATGGGTATCCACTGGTGAGGAGCGCCATACCTGGACAAAACAAATGTTCATTGCTCCCAGGTTTTCAATGTTTCTCCAACTGATGTTAGTCTATGATGAATACCAACATAAAACTACTATATTTTGCTACCCAAAACAAGAGTTGATTCTATTTCTTGAAAACATGTGTGTACAACATGGTGTTTAAATCAAGTAAATACAAACCTATATTTTTTAAGTACTAGTGTAGTGAAACTTGATTGTTGTTCTACAGCATTAATGCCACCGAACCAATAATTAAACTTTACAAGGAATTTTAGAGCGATAAGTAGTCATTTATAAAACTCAGTAACAAGTGAGATCATTATTTATTCAACTATATACATTCAAAAATTGGAACACCACTTAAGCAATTCGTAGTTTTCCTGTCATTACACCTTAAATTCCTGAATACATGTATACACCTACATTCTGTTGAGCTATACTCAAAACTCTCACTTTTCATATCCAGAGTAGCCTATATAATAGTTAATAAATTGAATGGACTTTAAAGAGCGAAAATTTAATCGGGTTGTTCATTTTGCAAAAACAGATTCATTCAACTATCGAATGGATAACGGATAAAAAGAATGTTGTATTGTCCTTAATTTATGCATATTCATTTATAATTAAAATTTATCATATGTTCAAAAAAAGTTTATAGCAAAGAAGGGTTTTTCAGTTTGTACCTATTTAACAAACCGAAATGACGATACATTACAAAGGTATATTAAACAAAGTAATGAAGTGAAAAATGATCATGTACTTATTAGCATAATTTTGAGCTCACCAAAATTTTGTGCAAAAGCATTATTGATTTTTTGTGCAGTTTTGACCTCGTATATTGTTTCTTGAGTTGATCTATTTATGATTTCTAGCTGTACTACAGTATGTAGCATCTGATACTCCTAGATATCATCTAATGTGTACAAACTATACAGGTTATTTTGTTTCTGAGTGAGAAATAGGTTGGCTTGTGACTACAATGTCATGACATTCTTCTGAGTCTAGTTAACTAGAAACATGGATTCCTCAATTTACAATGATACATTAGGTGTAGAATCTGTTTTAGATTTATTCCATAATAGTTTTATATATTTTCATCAAAAATATTTTTCAAAAGTACACATCTTTAACTAAAAAAGACTTACCACTTTATCTGGCTGTCAACTGTCTTTTCATTTTGGTGAAGCATATACGTTGGCTAGTTGTGAACATCAGTGAAGCAAAGGTAGTGAATTTAGCCTTAGACTCACACACATGTAGGTTAGTTCATTGTAAATACCTCATGAAAATCAGTTTTTCGCTCTAGATTCTTTGAATTTCGGTAACATACCTAATTTTGTTACAATTGTGCTCTTTACTATGATTTTTTCGAAAGAACTATTTTTTATTCCAATTTTTTTAAACTACCTAACGATACCTCTAATACTAACGGATTATAATACTCCTCTTTACACAGCAACCCTCTGAAAGCTGATTAGATATCTGACACTGTGTCATAGTACCCGGGTGAGATATTTTGTTTTGTTGATGTTGAATTTTTTAGGCGCTGAATTCACGTCATTCATACACGTACTCGGTAGTTAAACTTATCAGTGATTCCTGTTGTCTGCTTGAGCTTTGTAAATATCGCTAAAGTGGTTTACATTATACAGTTGTCTCCCTTCTACATCCAGCTGATTAACTCCCTTAAGAATGAGCAGATGAAAAGGCGTTTGCGTTTAATAATACTATTATACTGTTACATGATTACTTAATACATTCGATGGATAGGATAAATTTTTACCTTGTAATTTCTAAATTACGTTCCTGAATAAATCAAACCACGTTAATATGCAGCAAAATAAACATTGTAAGTACCAAAAGGTCTTTCGTAATTTGATGGTTATCAATCTTGGAAGCAAAATATTCCTTCTATTACTTTCATTGAAACCAGTGGAAAAAGTCTGTCCACAGTTGCTTTGACAAGGATTACGGTCAATAAACTGTGATGTACGAAGTCACTTTAATAACTTTCACTCCACACTTTATCCTCGATAGTTCATTCATTAGGGAATTTACCATGAGATCATATGTTATTTCGCTAGACCTATTTACATAGTTAGTCAGTATATCTACTTTCCTCTCAGCAACTTCAGCTTAGATGTATTTATGCTAATACGTGTATACATCAATCTGAATATATATTCTTTTATCATTCTTTAGCAGTTTTTTAATGGCTGAAAGGCTTATTTTTATTATATTTTAGGAAATTTTTCAATCAAATTCGATGAAAATCCACCAATAGATTTAGAATTCGTATTTCTATCTGGCTTACCCGGACTTCAATCTAATAAATGTTTTGAATGTGGACGTGTTTTAGATCCACGTGGTGGGCGCGAGGTGAAATTGGATCCAACACTGAGCAAATTTATTGAGTCTTCTGATAATCATTCTAAATCAGCGAAAGGAACTAAATCACACATAGAAGTCATTTCACATTTACGACGTGTTCGTTCTCATCACCAATTTAGTCAGGTAACCAGTGTTCCTGATGCGAGAGCTGTCCGTGTTTGTCATATCACTGGAAAATATTATTGTGAACGCTGTCATTGGGACGATTCTTGGTATGTCCCAGGCTCAATATTCCTTTTAAATGACGTCTCTAAGCATCCTGTAAGTCTGTTCGTATCAAACTAAAAAGCATTTACTATCTACATCTTTGTTATGTATTTTATGCACAGGCTTTCAGTGGTTTTGGAAGCATAACGCCACTTACGTAGTTGGATGATCAAGAATAAACAGTAAAAATACTGTTGAAAATTTTGACATACATTCTATAGATGGACAATATGCAAACTGATTGCTGACTCTTACAGAGGTTTACTGAATATATATGCCCACTTATTTCGTTTTTCATTGCTTAACACCTTTCGAAAATATTTTCTGTGGTGATTTTATTAGTTGAATACTCGTGTAATACTCTTATAAGTATACAATGGACAAACTGGATTTCGGTAATGAGTATTTTGTTTACTTATTGTATGTGAGTTTGTTGAATGAATGCAGTTGGTATGACTCAGTGGTTATCTCTCCCACTATATTACTGGATGACGAAGGTATGAGTCTCGGAAAGGATATTAATTCCCTCAAACCTCAGATACACCTTGCTGTTGAGAGCCATGAAGCTTGAAACCTAGTTTCGAGCCTCTCTACTCATTACTTTGAAACAAATAACATCTATTGAACTCTACCAAGATAATAAGAAACGTAACTTGATAGTTACATACCAAAATTGATCGATATGCTTCTGTCGGCACTGATGACTAAATAACATGAAATTAGTTATTCTCCAGTTACTAGTCAGTTTGCTTGTGGTATGTTCAGGCAATAAAATCAATACTTCTCATTAATTCGACTAAAGTGATACCAATTTCCTTTCTTATTATGCAATTCATTTCTGTTGGTTTGCATTAATATGTTTGCAGTCGGTTACAAGGAAAAATTAATGGAGTAGTTCCCATCATGGACTACATGAAAGCTATAAGAACTCAATATGTGTTTCCCCTCAACATTATGCACCCATAAGTATTCATAAGGCATCAGGTTCAGGTCATTCAGTTAGCAGTTCACCATTCAAACACAGCGCCTGGATACCATAAACATGAAATAAACTTATAACCTTGTAAGCGTGACTCTGATTGATTTAAAAACAACAATCTTTGAAATGTAGTTTTATTACCTGATGAAGGTGTAACAAGTCTGAAAAACACTATGTAATGTAGATTATTTGTTGAACCTGAAGATATATTTTGATTTCAGATATACATTATTGTGCGAAATATTATTTCATGCCTAACAAAGCATCGAATCAAATATTGTTACATCTATGCATCTCACCAGTAAGACTTTTTACTGTAAGGTCTTAAAGTATTTCGTATTGTGCCATGTAGAAAGAGCTTCAGCAGAAATAACATTAGGCCTTTACAGAGCTTCTTAACATATTGAACGAAAAATAGGATTCTTGGCACGAACTTAGCAGATTCAGTCACATTTAAACATTGTTCAAAAACTGATTATCTCAAAATATCTTAAATGTTTGTTTGTCGTGATGGTGGGTTTTAAAATCACATCATGCAATTTTTTTGATCAGTTTCTTTAATTTCGACCAAAATGGTTCCCTCTGACACCTTGATGGATCTTACAAGTGAAGCATATAATGCCGTGGAATCTACTAGCGAATAACTCAGCGAAAATCTTCCCTTCACGAAACATTTATCACTAAAATAATCTTATCCGTCCACTCTATGAGGTTTGTTAGCTCTAAGTCAACCAGAAGTTTGAAATTATCCAATATAAATACAATGAGGAAAGTATTAATGTTCTCCTAACTATTTTTAGTAAACTGATTTGAAATGAAACGAAATAGAATTTTGATTTTTGCATTCAATAAATCATCTGCCATAGACTTTGAAGAGTTCTCAACCTCCAAACAACATGCTTTTAGCACATTATGTTTGTTTCTTTAAAAGCTAATTCAAATTACTTCTGCTATGGCTTCATAGTTTTGATGGGCTGTTTAGATTTTCTAGGTCTTCCCCGGTTTCCCAGGTCAACTAAAAGTCATCCACCATCTACATAGCTGTCAGTTAGGCGCAAAGCATGAAATCTGTGTGTACAACTGGCCGTGGACTCCTACTGATGGAGACGGCTTCAAAGCCGCAGTCATCTACCCGTACCTTCTTTGCTGGGACGGCTTTGAGAGCCCAGTCTGGGTAATGACGCTAAGGTCAGCTTCAACCTCTCGTTTGTTGCTCTGCTCATGCCATCCTTCCACCCAACCCAGTAAGACGGCGGTAGCCAGGCATTTCAATCCGTTCTTCCTGAGGGGTTAACAGACAGCTAACCACGATCGTACATCAATCAGGGACTACCTCCGAAGACTCGTCCCCTGGTCAGGAAGGTAAAGTGCAAGCTGTTAGTGTAGTCACCAGGGTGTTGGGAAATTTTAAAAGGAGCAGTGAAGAGGAGAGACATAGTAGTGTAATACAGTTACAGGCTTACCCGGAGGATTTATTGTCGATCTGCAAAGAAATAGAGTGAAGGGGAAATTCGTATAGAACAGAGAGAGTTAATGGCGTTCGGAAACCTACTTGCTGTCAAGGCGGAAGCCATAGTAGTATTTAAGCGATCCCGTTATGGCGTGGAAGCATAGATTGGAGTCGAATTACTCCTACCAAGATTATATTATTTTGACTAGCTACATTAAGTCAGAAAACATTGTTTTGCGTTAAGAAAAAGTTTTCTTGATAAATTCGAATTATATGCGTTCTAATAGTAGTTCAGCTTCGAATAATAGTAAAATGAAAGTTAACTTCTGACCTATAACGAAATGAACTCATAAATTCGGGTCATGCGTTTGCAGACTATAGAAGAGAAAGTCTAAAGCAGTCTGCTATTTATTCAACAACCAGCTGAATTGCACAAAATCATAATTCTATCATGCCTTAGGTCTCCAAGACAACTTAAGTGTTGTCAACACAGGGAAATCAAATAAAAGACTTCCTTACAAAATTTCTAAACAGTTGATAAACCTGTCAAAATAAATGTCTTTTTATCTTTATGACCATTAGAAATATTTCGAGTTCAACACAATTTTTTTAATTTCTACTCAAACTGGTTCAAGAACGATTTCCGCCCGTGAGTCATTTGGCAAAGATGTTTTCAGTCAGTTTTGGTTTCCCCACCCATGTACTGCGAAAATTTTGAAACCTGAGCTAAGTATTTATGCTGAATTCTAAAATAACTTCTGGATTAGAGCATGAGTTAACCATTCACGATGTTTTTCGGTTATCACTCATTTTTGGTGGAACTATAACTAGCAGTCTATGTGAACGACTGAGTAATACAGCTAATCCAATTCATGAAGTTGCGAGTTAGCGTTGTCACTTGTAGCTGGAGAAAGTCAGTTAGTATGTGTTTTCTATCGACTAAAGTAGGCGAACAATGCTTTTAACGTTTTGTTGACTAATGAATCTAAATTACGCATAGACTGAAATGACCATCATGATGATTAAACTGCGACATGGCATCAATCCGTGATTTTATGTCGAATAATGTGATAATGTAGTAGTTTATCAGCTGGAGAATGGACAATATTTCAATGGTTTTCGCTTTAGATTTTATATGGTACAACTTGAAGCTAATAATATACAGGCAAATTCAATTATTGTTTATCTTTCTATCAGTAACTGATATCTATTTACTCGATAGAATTATACTTGTTATCGATTTCTATCTCACTACCCATTTCTTCGAGTTCTTCTATTACGGTTGTTAACATCTTTGATACTTTTCTTTTCTGTTTTGTTTTTCCTCTAGCTTCCTTGGTGTGCGAGATAATAAGGCAATGAATATTTGTGTCAAATTCCATTTCAATTTTTGTTTTTCTTAAAAATGTTAAAACTAATAAAATACTCAAGGAATAGCAACGAAGAAACAAATCCAATCTCTAAGCATATATATGGATAACAAGCGTAAAATAGGTAAATTTATGACACCTAAAATTTCTCAAAGAAAGAAATTGAGGCGTTTTAACTGAATACTCTTTAAAATAAGACCAACAGCTGAGTATTTAGTGACTTTATTTTCAACCATTTTTGTTAACTAATGGGTACAGTTCTATTAGACCAGTTCAGGGTTCAAATTAGACTGTAGTATACCATTTAACAACCTTCTACTTGATTAGGAAATCTTAGGTGTTATTGCTGAGAAGTAGAAAATATTTTGACTTCTTTTAAATGTTTGTAGTGTTTGTAACTGATGCTAACAACCAGCAGTTTACAAAGATGAAAATTTCATTTCTGTCAAAAAAATTCAAACAGTTTTTTATTCTTGACAGATTAGCCGTTCAGCTTATATAAAATTACGCGTAATATGGGATTCTATTGTATTACGAGTTCCATCTTACTGGCACGAAGATAACCTGGAAGCCGCAAAAGTGTATAAAATCCGTAGTAAACTACATCACATTTTACGCTATACAATGTTGTGTTCAGAGGCATCGTCAATAAAGGCTACTGCAGAGGTAAGTTATCATAAAGTGAAAACAGTGTTTAAAATACTGTTTTAGCTTCTTTACGTAAAAACTTCAATTGATGTTATAATTCTGTCGGAGCTAAAATATCATTCCAGTATCTTACACTCGGTAGACATTGACGTCTGTAGTATTGCTTATGCGGATGCTTGTGCAGTATATATGTCTAATCTACCACCATATACAATAAATCTTGATCCTATTATGATCCACCCAGGCTTATTTTGTAGTAGGTGTCATACTGTCAGCAATTAAATCATTAGATGAATATAAGCAGGGGGATATTTCGAGGAAGCTTTAAACAGAAACCTCAGTAGTGAATTACTTCTCTAAAGTTGAGTATTATACGAATTTTTACTTAATTTTGCTCACTACTACTCATGAAGGAAGGGAAGGTACTTGCCGACTGATTGAAAGAGTGGCCACCTTGTCAAAATCTCAAAGAAGGGAGACATAAGCCTATACAACAACTGGCGCGAAATCATGCTCCTGTCCAACCCAAGCAAAATAAGATGCCGCATCATCCTGGAGAGACTAAAAGATGCACTGAATTCATAATTACGACCAGAACAGAATGACTGGCTGGCAGGCTTGCTGGCTGTCTGGCTGGCTGGCTAGCTGGGTTCAGGAAGTACAAATCATTTACGCACCAAATTGCAACACTACGCTGCACATCATCATACAACAGAGCGTACAATGGCAGTCAACTCTCCACCTCAACTTCATCGATTTTGAAAAGGCTGGCGTTGGACAACGTCGACCAAGAAGTAATTTGTCAGGCAACTGCTTCAACACTACGGACTACCACAAACCTTCATTAACCTCATTCAACAGCTATATGTAGACGCCACATGCCAAGTGATTCACAATGGAAAGCTCAATGATGCCTTTGAAGTGAAGACAGGTGGCGTAAGACAAGGCTGCCTACTATCATTAATGATGATCTTCGTGATTGTCGTGTACTGGACTGGATCATGCAGCAAACCGTGAGGAGCTGTGAGAAGATGGGCATAGGCTGGCTGGACCGATGAAAAGAGCCTAGAAGATTTAGATTTCGCTGATGATTTTCAGACCATATTTTAAAATGATGTGTTAATTTCAACAGATAACTCTTATGTGACTGACATGCATAGTAAAGGAAGCAAAATGGGAGCCCAAAAAATGACATTACTGAGTTTCTCCATCAGTATTGTAGAACGTTTGCCGTACTCACAGAGATGGTAATGGAATTCAGCTTTTCACTTATATATGTTACATTTATCTGCTTATTAGCTTCATAAGCCCATATTTAGTGTACCTTTTCCATAGTGAATTGGGTAGCAAAAATTAGGATCTATTCAATTTCCTTTAGTGGATCATATATTTCATCACTTGAAAAATAATATATCTGTGTTTATTATACGGATTTCCTAGATTGGAATTAACATCACGAATTCTATTTCCTTCAGGAGGTCACATTCTAATAACAAAGTCGGAATACTAGACGGATGCTACACTAGCCAAACCATATTTGTAAAATTTTTCCGGTATATTTTCATTACTTTGAAAGGTTTGAATCAATGTGAATACAAGACTGACAAGTGAAACGGGTGTCGAATGTTAAGAACACATTTATTATAATTAGTTTCTCACAACTCAAAATAATCAGTAGTATAAAGCGTACATTACTTCTATCTGCTTTCTTAATGACTTGCTTGAAGTTGATCGGACTATAATTTTTGATCTTAACACTGGTTTCTGTAGTAAATCACAGTGGCATTCTACAGGTGGAGTAAAACTGTCTTCATCTTAGGAGTGATCGAGAATCCTGCAAACATTAACTCTGATTTATTGCCTGCTTAACCAGACATTTATATTTCATTCTTTGTAGGTAAAATAAACTATACCTGACCTCTACTGAAGCTCAGTGTTAAAAACATTTTGTATAATTTTATGTTGAAGCTTACAGATCCATCTCATTTGCTTGGTCACCCTGAGTATTTTCGAATGTGTGATGTCGTTGAAGTAATGAATGGGACACTTTATCCAAGGCTAGAAAAATACCTGAAGACATGGTTAGAACATATGTCACATTGCTCAGTAAGTTATTTTATACAGTATATTGTATTTGAATTAAATGAATAGGGTTTATAATATTACGGTACTGTTTTGCTCTAAGTGAAATGAAGAGTGAATTGGAGTTAAACATATTTCATTCAAGTTTTTCTGGTTATTTACCAGTTTTTCATAAAACTAGCTAGGTTTGCGACAAATGCATTTATAGATAAAACGTGTATCCGAAATTTTAGTATGCCTCACTGTAGTTGAGAAACCAAGAATTTATGCCAACCTAATCAAAAGCTGTATTCAGAAGGTCGTTACCTCAACTAAAAAACAGCATTTCAATGCAGACGGAAGGCAATTAGATTCATTCATTTCAGATAAGACAAAACTAAAACTCTGATTATTGAGAAGGAAGTATAACATTATTCAGGTACAAGAGTTTTAAAGATAACAGTTTATCGAAACACGAGTCAGTTCACCAATGAGACTCAAAAATTAAACTTAAAGTGCTGATGAATGTCTTGAAAGCGAAACCTTACTCAGTATCTCAGGATGTATGTCCATAAATGATGAAGTTCTCAATATAGGATATCTGGGACTTTTATCCAATAAACATGAAAGTTTTGACTTTCATTAAAGGACTATCTAGACAGTAATTTGAATTTAAATATTTTTCACACAACAATGACTAAACTACTTCATTCACTACTGCTTTGAAAAGAATCAAGTATACTGCGGTTGATTCTCGCAGACGGTGGGAGTACATTTGAGATATTTTAAAAGCCATACTGACAGGACTGAAAGCAAATAAAAACTAATAAATAGTGAGAAAATTATTGTCAATATAAATGATAGTGGTGAAGGAGTTCAGTGTACTAGTAAGACTGTTGTTAGTAAAATGAATTGTGCTTTCCAATATGGACAGAATTTTTAGAAAACTAAGTGTTTTTATAACCCAAACAGTGATTTAATATTCTTATCCTAGTTGGTAAGTGATAAGGTGACAAGGAGAAGTTACAAGTATCAATGGACCACAACTTATACTCGTTCCACAAGAGGTGGGTATCTCGCCTCAGTGACGTAGTGGATGACACTCTTGGGTTTGAAGCGATGGCTAGGAGGCTCGAGTCTAACTGGAAACAACATGACTCATTATAGTCCAGGCACATCCAGCTGACGAGTCCCAAACAAGACGAAATGAATACCCTTGATTCCACTGCTAGCCAACAACTAGACTGTGATAAGGTTTAACTTTTATCATTCACACTTAGAATTTTAAATTCACAAGTGGTAGAGTTGTACACATGTATGGTGTCTGAAATACACAGATCTGAAATTTCACTTAGTGCTATCGAAAAAAAATGAAATTTATTCTACGGTTCGAATACAAAACGGTTGGTTGAGTTGTTACAAACTTTTACCCAATGAACGTAGACTAAGGATACCTAATGTTTCAACTGGATAAAAAGCATATTTGTGACGGAATAGTGGATAGTATCTATCGATCATGCAGCTGTCTCATCCAACAATTTCTCCGAGATATGAGCTAATTCTGCAGATGAAACTCAAGACAGATGTATTATCTTTGCAACAGAATTGAAGAAATCGATGCATTATGTTACAGTACGCAAATTTATGAAATGATAATAATATCCTTGCCAACTACTTTGTTTTACGACGAAAGATGAAATCCCGTCTATTCACTTTTACTGTAGACATGTAAATTGTATATATATTGTCAATTTTGTGTGAAAATTCGCATAACCGTTCACTTTAGTCCTATCCACAGTATTTATGTGGCATATTATTTCACTGATAAAGGTGAATGAATTAACGGACAACACTTTTTGGAAATTTAACTGACAAAAGGGACGAAAGTCACACTGAAAAAAGCATTGTTGGAATCTGATGGGTAAAACATAATAACGCACTTTTTTATATTCTCAAAGGTGAAACAGAGGCGTTTAATGACTAGATGACTTCATTTTCTACCCAGAAACGTTATGTCTCAAAATTAACTAATCTTATGAACCGTGACTTAATTCATAACTAAAGAGGGGTTTTACTGATAACAATGTATTTAATTTAAATCAAGCTAAATTTTATGTTGTGAATGGCGTTTTGGGTTTAAACTTTCAAACAGTTGACTGCAAAATCACGAATGACCCAGGCAGTCTACTAAAATTAGGTTCGTATGAACCTTTGGAAAAAATTCTCATATTAAGTTATTAGACAAATATTTCAATATTTAGTCTTTATTCTCTAGGACGTATCAAATATTTTTACACAATCTATTTGTTGTATATCACGGTATGATTTTATACTAACTACATTCGTCCTGTTCCTCTGAAATTCCCTAATGGGTAATAATATAGAACAAAATTATACAACTGTATCTTCAGCTCATGATTTTCTAGTTGGTGTCTGTTTCACTCGGATTGAGTTAAATGGGTTCTGATATTCACTTTTCAGCTTCTCGTATAAGAGATGTTCAAAATATCATCGTTGTTATATAAATATGCCAAAACTTAGTTAAAGACAATTAAGATATTTAATATACTGAGGAACAAAGGCTCAAATTTAATGAAAAGCTAGTCAGTTCGCCTAAGCTACTGACTCGAACTCTATGAAAGTCCAACTTCAGATGAGGAATCCACTGTAACATTACTAAAGGTGCCATCCTTTCAAGTTATTGCTAAAACAGGAACATTATCTTAGAATTTGAGTACGCGCTTCATTATCTAATAAGTGTACAGCATGTAACTTTCAGGCTTATCACGAAAGGGCTGTTCAACTTTGAGCACAGTATAAGTTTGTGCATCATCGTGTTTTCAATCTAATTTACGGAAAGTTTGGAAATACCGCAATTAGTAAACCATAACGATCTGATATTCCCGTTATTGTATTATAAAATGCAGACTAATGTTTTATGTGTCATAGTTCTAACTTTTAACTGAAATAAGAACCGAATGATGGAAAGGCACTTGGTGAGCTTATTATACGTCTTTTTCAACTCCATAGAACTAACCATGAAAAATATTCATCTTCCATCACTAAAGGCGACCATAGGATGACGAATAAATGTTGATAGATTATATGATCGTGTCATTGTGAACAACTTTGATCAATATTTATTTTGTTAGCATGTTGTGAGCATTAAGCAGCTATGCGAACATGGTCTTATGTGGCTGACTGTCTTCATAAAGATTATGCGTTATTAAATAACGCATCTAACTGTCATTGGAAAGTGGATTAAACTAACAATGATGTCAACAGTATTTCGATAGGTCACCTTTGGTTAAGACTATCGTTACTGTGTAGAAACAGGGTTCGCGTATATAGAGGGAAATAATTAGACTATTGGGTATCAAAGTACGCTTATTGTTAGTCTACACACCATGTTATATTTTTGTTATTATTCCAAGTATTTTGTAAAAGGTATCGACGAAAATCTACTGGATTTTTCAGACAGAGTCAACTAAGAATAATGACTGGGTTATTTGTCACAAACCAGGCATAAGGATTTTTGTTCTATGGGAAAAAGCCACATATAATTATTTTCGCCTGAGACGTTAAGATCTAAGGTGATACCAACTTTACTATGGCAATAAAAATGTTAGACTGTCATCTGGAAAGGTTGTTAGAATGGCTTGTAAGTCTATCAATTTCTACATTTAAGAATACTTCTTAGTCAGTAAATTCGTTGAAAACAAACAACGAGAGAGATTGTAAACTGTTTCAGCTGATTCCTCAGTGAGTTATCATTTGTTCTTCGTATCAAGTCTCAAAGAGGAAGTAGTAACTGCAAGTTTTTCGATAAATTCTAATCGCTTCCTTCTTATATATTATCTTTGATGAACTTCCTACTATTTTCAGCAGTAGTAACGTGTAGTTACTTTGAACATTTCTCGAATTCTACAACTATAAGCATAACGAATAACATTGAATGATCATATTTGCAGTTGAGATATTCGAATACAACTACGTTGTGATTACCACTTGCCGCACGGTTTAAGCTTCTATGAAATTTTAATGCTGTGCACATGACTTTTAAGCTTCCTGGTCAAGTTTCTGTTGTTTCTGTAGGAGTAACTCAGTAGCTGTTATCCACCGACATTCCAGTGGCTATCCACTATCACTACCGCTTACTATTATCCAATAGTAGTCACCTCAGACAATCAACCGGTTGTTATTTCTTCTATAAAATGCTATAAGGCTTTGAAGGAAACTCTGAATCATAGATAGCATTAGGAAAAACTGACAGCTGCTCAGCGTAGTAGATAGAAGTGGATTTCAACCACATGGATAAATGTTTAGTTACTCTTAAAAAAAAGACTTCAGCCAACTTTTCAGTATGCAGCTAGGTTAAGTATCTATGGCTGAAAGCCTAGTTTGGATTTTTATATTGGAGATAATAGTACTTTCAGTAGTTTCGTCACTAGGGTCTGCAGTTATATATCCATACTGTTTAGGTCTAAGAATAAATTTTCTTCAGTAACAAGAAGAACTTTTTCACAGAAAGGTTTCTTCATAAAAAGCAGGCGAGCAGCAATGTTTTAATTCAAATGGCTTAGGATTTAACTTTAAAGCCTAATCAAACTATTAGAATGGATCACACCTTATATCCCTTAAACTGCAGAAACAATAGTAGTTTGAGTTCAGCAAATTGAGTTATTTGTTAATAAGAAATATTTGCTGCTGCTTAAACTGCTTCAGCCTGTTTTTGAAATAATGAGTTTCTCAGCGTGATATTCACATGTCACCAATTATCATTACAAGTTCGCCAAACCATGGCTGTCTCAGATGGTTGAACTGATGATTAAAAAAATGTGTATTTTCAGTATCTACGATAACAAGTGTGGAATGGGTCACAAGAATATTTTGATAAAAAATGACCCCGTGTCACGTACATGACTATGAAAATGGTATTTGTTAGAGTATAACTTGGCCACAATGGCAGAGCTTAATTCCTTATTTGATTATTTATTTGATACAGCACACAGTGATGCAGTATTGTTTACTGGATGAAGTTTTGAGCAGAATTTGTTATTCCTATTCATGTGATATGATTATAAGCATTACATTCTACTAGGAACTTCATGCAGTAAACAGTAATGCTTTAGTGTGTAGTGTATCAAATAAACAATCTAATATGGAAAACGGTATTTGGATTTCAGTTCTTTAGAAACTCCCAGTAAATTTCAAAAGACAATGGAATGAAGTTATCGGGAAGAATATTATTTGTTCACTTGGATTCTAATTTATCTGATGCTGAATATACACTTAAATTGTGCACTCTGCTGTTTAAAAATACATACACCAGATATATGTACAGTATAATTTAGACAAAAAGTACTAGCCCTCAACAACTTTATCAGGGAGGTTAAAATGTTTACCTTCCGATTAAGATTTCAGTAGCACCTAAATAACAGTTGGTGAGGTTCATTGACGTAAAACAAAGCTATCTTAATGCTATACTTTTAAAATACTTTTTCAGATCTGTGAAGAAGCTCAAAAGTCTGTGGGAACAGAAGGTGCGATATGGATCGGAGATAAACTTACTTGATCCTGTCTGTTAAAATAAACTTCTTTCATTTTTGAGTAGTTATAATCAGACTAAGTGTTTGTTTACAATTTTTCACATTGTTTCCTGTCTGAAATTGATTTTTTTATTACTAGTGGCTTTAATACAAACCTGTAGTGATAACCGTTTTTCAACAACCAATGATATCTTTCTATATGCTTAGTTTTGAATGCTTGATCACCTTATCATTAAATTTCTCCAACAGCTTAGATGCAAGGTGTCGACCAGGTAAAGTTAACGCTATATATATATATATATATATATATATATATATATATATATATATATATATACTACAGGAATAAGTAAATAATGTCTCTCAGAGAGAATAAGTAGTGTAAAATCTACATAATAGAATATAGAGCAGATAATAAAATATATCTACTAGAGCAATTGTTATCATATTAAATTTATTTTCCTGATTTTACCGGTATATCAACGCATATGATAATTTATATACAATACAAAATACTTCATATGACGAAAATAACATAGTCGTGGTTTGTCTTGTAACTGCTTCAAATAAGACGAAGTACAAATTATTTACTTTCGATGAGCTGTATTGTTATATTGAATTCATTTCAGGTCAAAGTGAAATGCTTTTCGTTATTAATGCACTAAGCTATGGATCAGTTCAGTAATGCAGGGTTGCTCAGCCAAATTACTGGACATAATCTTTACTTCGAACTGCATTCTTGCTTAAAAAACATTAGCCAAGTAAAACTTCAATTTCTGTCAAGTCATAACTGTTGCAAGAAACGATTTGATGTAGTTCACTAGTACAATGGAACGTGTTAATACTAAACTACCTTACAACTGCGATTGAATCATGTGTACCAAAAAACCAAACATTTAGCGTAGAAAAATCTTTAGAAGTTAAGAAGTATCACTCGTCATTTGAAACGTATCTAGACCCCACATATGATGAACTGAATTGTTTGGACTCAAGTATCTTTATACTTGAAAGTTTCGACCGTGAACAAATAAAGGAAAATATAAACATCAGAAACAGCAAATTTTAGACAGTATTTTGTGAAGACAATTTCGTTTCTACAGTAAATCTTGCCATAGTTAGGTTGCATGGTCCGATATGTTTCCCAGCTTCAAGTTACTGCGCTAAAAAAGAATTCTGCCTCAGTAATGTCATGAAAAAACTGTTGTTGGTAAGTTGGATGCCTTTGGGGTGACACTTTCTTCATCATAACGAACAAAAATAAAACGAAAACGAATCTCTTCATTTTATTACACTATACTATGCAGATCATTGGAAACTTTTGCGCTACAAAAATAATTAAGCACTTAATTTAGAGAGATTGTAACCTTCTGAGGTTACCTGCAGTTTAGTATCAATCAGCGCACATTGCACATTTGGCACATAACATTACATTTATAATGAAGGTCATCGAATACTTTTCGGTCATACATTAAAGCATCACCATCCAACACATTAATGACATGCATATTAATGAATTCAAATAATACCCCTTCAGTAGTTCCAGCCAAAGAAGCGGTGAGGAATCATGCTCCTGTCAACACCAAGCAAATAATATGCCACACCATCCTGGAGAGAATAAAAGATGCACTGGATTCAAAATTACCACCAGAACAGGATGACTAACTGGCTGGCTGTGAAGAATAGTGCGCGGAAGAACAAAAGACACCTCTACGACACATTGGCAAGTGAAGAAGAACAGGCAGCTGGTAGGAGAGACTTGACAAAATTATATCAGATGACCAGTGTACTATCTGGGAAGAGATTATCTCTGACGGAAACAATAAAAGATAGTGAAGGAAACGTAGTCATCAAAGTGGAGAAACAAACGAAACGATGACCTGACCACTTGGAAAAACTCTTGGATCGAACATCATCATTCGCAACTCGTCCGGAAGTACCACCCGCAGTCCAGCCACAGAATCAACAGTGAACACAGCCTCGCCGAAATAAACCGAATTCTTGAAGGCCATAAAGTAACCGGAGGTTGGGAAAGCTGCACTATCAGATGGAATTAATCGACAAGCACTGGAAACAGAAGCAAAAACAACAACAGAGGACATGCTGACACCACTACTGCAGAAGGTTTGGAAGGAAGGAAAGGTACTTGCCGACTGATTGAAAGAGTGGCCACCTTGTCAAAATCTCAAAGAAGGGAGACATAAGCCTATACAACAACTGGCGCGAAATCATGCTCCTGTCCAACCCAAGCAAAATAAGATGCCGCATCATCCTGGAGAGACTAAAAGATGCACTGAATTCATAATTACGACCAGAACAGAATGACTGGCTGGCAGGCTTGCTGGCTAGCTGGGTTCAGGAAGTACAAATCATTTACGCACCAAATTGCAACACTACGCTGCACATCATCATACAACAGAGCGTACAATGGCAGTCAACTCTCCACCTCAACTTCATCGATTTTGAAAAGGCTGGCGTTGGACAACGTCGACCAAGAAGTAATTTGTCAGGCAACTGCTTCAACACTACGGACTACCACAAACCTTCATTAACCTCATTCAACAGCTATATGTAGACGCCACATGCCAAGTGATTCACAATGGAAAGCTCAATGATGCCTTTGAAGTGAAGACAGGTGGCGTAAGACAAGGCTGCCTACTATCATTAATGATGATCTTCGTGATTGTCGTGTACTGGACTGGATCATGCAGCAAACCGTGAGGAGCTGTGAGAAGATGGGCACAGGCTGGCTGGACCGATGAAAAGAGCCTAGAAGATTTGGATTTCACCGATGATGATGATGATGATGATGATGATGATGATGATGATGATGATGATGATGATGATGATGATGATGATGATTTATGTCTAGTGTCTCGTCGCACAAACTCGGAGATCTACAGGCGAAAACTAACAAGTTGACAGAAGAGGAAGGCCAGCGAAAACGGGACTTCAAGTGAATGTAGAGAAGACAGAGGTGATGAAGATACCCAACCAACAACAGCATGAACAACAAGCACCGATCACCATGAACGGGAGGAACCTAAAGGAAGTAGTCTGTTTCACCTGCCTACCTAGGCAGCGTCGTCCCAACTATAGGCGGTGGCGTCACAGATGAGGATATCAAAGCGAGGATCGGAAAGACAGCAAGACAGACTTACACTCAGTTGAAATCAGTGTGAAGGCCTACTGCACTGCAATGCACTGTATTCAGCATGAAGAACAAGATTGGTCATGCACTGAGAGGACTGATTGGGGACATCACGCGCCATTCCTTTGAGTTGGATCCAGAGGGAAAACGACGAGTTGGGCGTCTGAGGCCAGTGTGATATGGAGGAGATCATATGAGGAAGAAATTAAAATATGGTCACAAAAAGAGTGTGACCAGGCACCCAAGACTTAGCAGAGATCTATTTCAAACCATAGTCTACCTCTTTGTTAGTGCAGAAAAAAACGTATATGGAGTCAAATCAGTTACTTTGTTGCGATATAGATACTTTTCACCCTTAATTTCTTGGAACAACGATGACCTATATTTTTGCTGGCTTGTTGAGAATATCTGATGTCTAAGCAACTTCATGGAATCTGCATTTAGTTAATTTCAGAATAATCAGTATGGATTAGTTGGATGAACTGGTGAGTTTTTACTACTTTAAAAATTATTCTGAAATTGAAGCACCTATATTCTGACATTAAATTTAGAAGATCCTTAGCGATCGCCCACTTGGTCGAGTGTCGTCATTCAATTCTTACATTATACTGATATGCTTCAGTATTTCACAACATTGCTTTGGCTTCCATTAGCTACACGCAGAGTATTTTCTATTTATTTCCACCACACTTAGATTGAACTTGAATTCGACTAGTAACCATAAGCATAAGTTAATCAACATTTTCCAACAGTCCTAATGGGTGGAAAATGCTTACTTTCAGTCGTTAAAAGTTTTGTAGTTGACGATGAAAAAGCACTCCAGGTCAGTTTTATTTTAATATTCCGTGGAATTTCATCGTGTGAGTATATCTTGTCTAAGAAAGACTCAAGGTTGAGATAGAAGTTAATACCTGCAAAGGATCATGAGATATAAGTTTTATTAGCTGTTGGTGAAGCGTAGCATACAGAAACTGAAATCCCGAATCTTGAACTAATACTAGCTGAAAAATATATCATTTTCAAAAACAGCTTATGAACATTAAAAACGATTATTTTTCTGGACCTTGCTTATTTGCACTTCAAGAGTAGTACCAACTCTAAGGTAACATTAACTTTTGGCCAACGGTAACCTATACTATACATACAACGTTTTACTTTTTCCAATCACTTTACTTACTGAATTATTCTGATCAGTTTATTGAGCACTGGCTAAACTGATGTAGTGTTTATGTCAAATATTTAGCTACAACCTTTAACTTCAAATCAGCCAAAGAGATGCAATTTGTGAATTCTTTCAGACACAAAATCCTAATGCATACATAATTTCAATCTAAAGACAGTTATGAAAACTTGGATTACCAACATTCTCAGTTTATTTCAATAAGTGGATCTTCTCTTCTGTTATAATGAAGTAAAATGAGGTTGGTATCAGCATAACGGGTCAGGATTAGGAAAAAGTGAAGAAAACTTAGTAAGAGCCCTTTCTCGGAAATAACATTTACCATAAAAGTTGCTTGTATGGAACCATTAGAAGACACTTCATACAAAAACCATTGAAATCAAAGTCTGAATAAACAGATTCTTGATCACAAATTTAGTTGAACATGGAAAATTCTAATTATTCACAGCCAAATGGAAGCAGATAATTCTACTTTCAAGGATCATTTTCAAATCTTTCTCAACAAAGTTTCAAATTTAGTAACAAAGGCACTATTAGAGTTCTAAGGACCAAGATAAGTGGAAATACAATTGTTCATAACCCAACACACAACTGGAGATTTTGGAGTTATTTTAATTACGTGATGTAGTGCAGATTTTAAAAATTTTTTTAATATCCCACCTGATCATTACTAATCTACAAAAGTGAGCAGATATCAG